GAATCTGAAACATGTGGTACCACATAAAACTGCATGTGTGTCACGTAATTTTCTTTACTGTGTTCTCAACGTCTTATGTATTAGCGGACAGAGACAAACCAATACCGCAATAGGCTTTAAGCCCATTTCTGTATGACCTACCTACCATGCGTATTTTACTTCACCCGCAAACTTGGGCTTCACCTCCTGTCTGACGTCCCACATCCAACTACACGCAACAACACGTGTCTAGATATTGTGTTCGGAAAAAGTGTTGCCTCACGAGTGCACTGCATGCCATTACCGACATACTTCAGTGACCACAAAGCGGTTTTCGCTGTCATCGAATGAACTGTGTTTTATTTATATTCACCAGTGTTTCTATCGAATATTATAATTGCTGTATTTAAAAATTATACGTTTGTAGAGAGGAAGAAGATTATGTGCCGCAGTGGGTCACGCTTTTAGCGAGAGGAGCCGAGCGCGAGCTGTTTCCCCGAGTGCTGTGGTTCCTGTGCCAGTTGATGCCGCCCGCTTTCCGTATCAATAGACCTTGCTGTACAAGTCCTACTTACGCCAATAAACCCTGTTTCAGAGTGGTGGAGATGCTGGGTAGTCGACCCAAGTGGAGATCGTGGCGGAGTAGCAGCAACAGCAGCGTAAGTTAATGGCGCAGTGACAGGTGTTGTCTGAGACACGGACGGCAGTGCCTCGGAGACCTGCGCCTGTATTACTTCCCTGATGGCGGGCGCGAGACGCTCAGAACAGGGTTCCGTTGCCGGTAGATACGACAGGCACGAAAGTTGTCGGGCTACCTCCTCGCGCACATATCGTTTGATTTCCGACATTATTGTGTTGTGGTCTTCACCGAGGGTCAATGCCGCGAGAGTTTCGTTGGTAGCCGCTGGCCGCCGTGTCGTGACCTGTTGTTTGCGCAATTCCTCGAAGCTCTGGCAAAGAGTGGCGTGTACGGACACGGTACGTGGGTCCTTGGCCAGCAGCACCTGGAAGGCGTCGTCGTCTACCCCCTTCAAGATGTGTGAGATCTTGTCTGCTTCTATCATTGAAGGGTCAAGACGCTTGCAAAAGTCGAGCACATCCTTTATGTAGCTTGTGAAACCTTCCCCCTGAAGCTGTGTGTGTTCCCGTAGGCGCTCTTCGGCACAAAGCCTGCGTACCTCGGGGCGACCGAACACATCGGTAATGCATAGCTTAAAAGCACCCCAAGTGGCAAATTCTGAGTGGTGGTTGTTAAACCAGAGACTCGCTACCCCTTTTAGGTAGAAGGGTACATATTGCAGCTTCGAAGTATCGCCCCACTTGCTGCTTGTGCCTACCTTTTCAAATGTCGACAGTCAATCTTCTACGTCTTGCTTATCGGTACTACCGAAAAAGGTGGATCGCGCACGCGTAGCGCAGTGGGCACAAATGACCATCGGAGGCTGGGTCGTACCTTGCTGCGTGTTTTCCTCAGCCATTTCTGGGTACCTTCAGCCATTTCTGGGTACTCACTACTTTCCTCAAAAGGCACTGAGTCAAACTAACACCGTCGCTCACACAATCCACACTGGAACGCACCCTCCTTTGCGGCAACGTTCCTACCGCGTATCACCCAAGGAACGAAGTGTAATTTCAGAGCAGGTGGACGATATTCTTCAGCGCGGTGTCATCAAGCCATCTTCTAGCCCCTGGTCTTCACCTGTTGTGCTAGTGAAGAAGAAAAACGGTTTGATTAGATTTTGTGTCGACTACCGGCGACTGAACAAAATTACATGGAAAGATGTATACTCTCTTCCCCGCATCGACGACGCTATCGATTGCCTACAAGGTGTCGAATTTTTTTTTTCTTCATTGGACTTACGTTCAGGTTACTGGCAGGTTCCGATGGCAGAGCGTAACCGTCCCAGAACAGCGTTCGTTACGCCGGATGGACTTTACGAGTTCACGGTTATGCCATTAGGTCTGTCATATGCACCTGCAACGTTTTAACGAATGATGAACAGCATCATATACGGCCTTAAATGGCAGTTATGCTTATGTTACATTGATGATGTTATCGTATTCTCTCCTGATTTTCCTACCCCCGTCGACCGTCTGCGCACAATTCTTCAGTGCCTTACAAAGGCAAACCTCCCGCTTAGTATGAAGAAGTGCCGCTTCGGGGCTTGCCAACTTATTATACTTGGTCATGTTGTGTCAAAGGATGGAATTCACCCGGACCCGGACAAACTTCGAGCCGTAGCCGACTTTCCGAAGCCGACTTCACTCAAAGAACTCGCGAACTTCATCGGCTTGTGCTCGTATTTCCGCCGTTTCATCCACAACTTTGCTTCAATAATAGCCCCACTTACACAACTACTGAACGGTCAATCTAATCTTTCTAACTGGACCCTGGCACGTGACGAAGCCTTCCTAACACTGTGCCGCCTGCATACGTCACCACCCATTCTACGCCATTACGACCCAAGTGCCCCTACTGAAGTGCACACAGACGCCAGTAGGGTTGGTCTGGGAGCAGTACTCGCGCAACGAAAGCCCCGTATTCCAGAGGACGTCGTCGCATATGCAAGTCGCGCCCTCACGAAAACGGAAATGAACTACTGAGCAACTGAAAAAAAATGCTTCGCCATTGTTTGGGTGTTAAGCAAGTTTCGTCCTTACCTGTACGGACAGAGTTTCGACGTTCTGACAGACCACCACGCACTCTGTTGGTTGGCGTCGCTAAAAGATTCTTCAGGTCGCCTTGAACGTTGGGCTCTTCGCCTACAAGAATACGACATTCGTGTCGTCGACCGCTCAGGACGAAAGTGCTCTGATGCGGACGCCCCCTCACTATAACCAGTGAGATCCAGCGCGGACCTGAATTTGGACGCCAACTTCCCCATCACTAACATTCCCCATCGCTCCCAGCTGAAAAATTGTCGCTACGGTTTTCCAGTTAGTGCTTTTAGTACGTTCGTCAAAGACCCTTCTGAGAAATAGACATTCAAAAAAAGCTTTTTGCATGAGATTGACTTTAAGTTGAGAAAGTTTCATATCTCGGAGAACGTTTTAAAGATGATCCCGTGCTCCTTTTCTGTTTTATTGAGATAGCAATTATATGAACACTCTTGGCTGGATTTTCTCGCCGTCGTCGGCGTCGATGTTGGTGACCACCGTTATTCACCGCATATGTATACCTACCTACATATATTAAAACGCAATGAAGAAAAATAATCCAGAAAGGCTCCAGCGCGCGGAATCGAACGTCCGATCTCTTGCTTGCGAGTGCGGGGTGCTAGCCACTAAGCCATGAAGGAGGACCTCCTTGAACGTTCAAATGGCAAGCTAATTATAACTACCACTTATTTCCACCTATAGCGATCTCGGGGTTGAACTATCGTGTTTTCATCATAACCAGTGAGATGGCACAATGAGCGCGCGTCGCCAGAATGTCACGACGAGGCGACGCGCGCTGATTCCTTCATCTCCCACGCGCACTTTGTCCCCCTGATGGTGGGGGATGGATGCTAACACGTGCGTGCGCTTATCTCCTGGTTGGGAGAATCGTACGTTTTGGACTTTTATCGGAACAATTCTGTTATCATTAATATGCGTACAAATGTCACAGCACTCGTTGCACAATGCGAAAAGGCGCGCTTTTAAGACAAAGCGAAGTATCAACAGAGACACCAATTCACTTTCAACTGCACCTGTGAGTACGTTTCATGCGTCATTTGTGAGCGAGAAACGCGGCACACGTTTTCATCTGCTTCCAATTCTTCGTGGGACATTTCGATGTGTTGCTATTCAATTCATTGCTTCACCTTTCCGGCTGAACTGTCACTTTTTTTAAAACATGGTCGTTTCACTGACATAGACGTCGCAGATTACACCCAGATAAGGTTTGAGAATATTAGTGATATTTTTCTCAAACAATGCTGAATAATTTTTTCAACCAAAAGACAGGCGGTTACACTCAAATGAGCAAAAAGAGGTTATCTATGCGGTGTACGTTTTCGTTTCTTCAGTGAGTGGGATTTGGTGAAACCCCTAGCAAAAGCCTGTTCTTGAAGAACAATGGAAACCACCAGTCCCGTCAATTATGCCTTATATCATCACCATTGTAGACGGTATCAAATATATTCGGGGACTAAGAACCCAGTAATCTTTGCAAAGCCTGAATGTTCTAATTTGTTTTGGGGCAGTCGTTATAGGAGAAGCTCAGAAAAGCGGATAATCCTAGTATATAGCGTTTCTCACAACTCCTTTTTAAGCCACACCTTTTTATCACTGGACATGCTATAAAGACCTGTGCGACCAACTTTCTTTATGACTAAGTTTAAAAGCGTCAACATGAAATTTCATGCCGTTCTTTGCTTGGGTAGCTGTTCATGGACGTGAGTTCTGGGGACTTAAACGTATTGTCCTCCTGGCTGAAAACTATGCTTGGCTTGTTAGGCACCTCTGGAAGCTCTTGTACGACGTTGTATTTCACCTGTCTGTCATCGCAATAGACGTTTATCTTCAGATATTTATCAAAACACCTGCTGCCAAAAGCAATTTCCCCGGGCAAGTCTATGAGGCTGCATGTAGCGATTGTCATGCCTTTACATCGGTGAGACGAAAAGCTTTGCGGTAAAGACACGGCAACACCGAAACGACGTGAGTTGCTTCATCGCTGCACAAAACGCTCTCGCAGAACACTGCAAAAAGATGAACTATCCCAAGAACTAGGACGTTACCCGGGTCATTCACACGAAAGGTGAACAAAAAAAAAAGGTGGTTCTTAGAGTCCTGGCATACTTAAACAACGTTTGAAAATATTTAGCACCCGACCAGGGCCTAGTCGAGTGTTTATTTGCACGAGTAAATAAAACTGACTTAAGGTTGCCCAATTTTATTAACATAGTTTCATTGCTTTCAAGCCTTGCTACTGCGGATGTCAGGATGACAACAACTTTGTGTATGAGCCTGACGCTTTCGCTGATAGTTATAGCGCCACTCATCTATTTCTCTGAAACAGAAAGGCACATTTGAAATTGTATTCAACGCTTCAAACTTTTTATTTTGCTGAATGGTCCGATTTTGAGAAATGTGCCTCCTAGCCGTAAAATCCACCGTATCCTCCATAGCCGAGACCATATCCTCCGATGCCGTATCCGCCGTATCCACCGTATCCAAGGCCGTAGCCTCCGAAGCCATAGCCACCGTAGCCACCGTAGCCGAGACCGTAGCCGATGCCGTATCCTCCATAACCAAGACCATAACCAAGACCATATCCAATTCCGTAGCCGTATCCAGCGAGAGCGCCGGCAATAGCCAGGCTCAGGATGAGAAGCGACAGCTGCAAAAAGCGAACAAATCGTTTCTCTTAGAAAAATAGTATTTCCCAAATTCCTGGCTTGGATGGCACTGAAAATCCAAATGCATTAAAAAAAATACTGCATGTAGTCGAGTCATTCAGCCATACAAAAACGAAAATCGGGGCGAGTGTTTGAGAGTACAAAATCAAGCAGGTTAGTGCAAAAATGCGAGGGCATAGGCCAGGAGCATGTTCATGTTTCTGGCTTGTGTCCTCGTGTTTTTGCGCGAGCTGCTCTAATACGCAGCAACACTCGCGCCACACCTTATGCTAGCATTTTGATTGAAAAAAATTTTACTTTTTTTTTACCTTCGAAGCTACAGACACTCGTGTCTCTTTATGGCTGGTCTTGTAAGCAGGCTCAGGTTTTATGTTCTGAGTGCCAGAGTGTGAATCCTTTATTTTTGAGCACCTTACCACGTACTGGCGCATTTCTCGAAATACCGTAGAATGTAGTACAGAGACTGGCACGGTTCTACGTAGTAATCCTACTTATTGTTACCACACTGTACATATAAGTAAGACTTAATCGTTTATTTTGAATATTACGCTAGGAATGAAAAGCAAGACTAACGAGCTAATATTCAATTCTGGGTGATTAGTCATCTCTCCAAAAATGAAAGAGACTGAATACTATGAATGGCAGCAGCCTTTTATTCAGACCTATACTTTCTTTTAGGTCGGTGCTAGCCCTGCACGGGGTGTATCAATGAGAGTAGAAGGAAACCAGCTTGATACGCAACACAGCACTAATGAGTGGCTTGTCCAGCGAAGCAACTCAACCGCATACAGGAGGCAGAGCGAAGCCTCATCAGTCACTCCTTTTCCTTCAGCTGTGGCCAGCCGTTTTCCCGTCATACTGTGATACTTATGACGCACTTTACCGGAAAAAACCAGGAGACTGAACTGTAATATATTAGGCCCTGTAAATGAGAACTACAATTGTCAGTTTAAGCATTGGAGAGTATTGCGCACCATGGTGAGATGCAGAATTTCACGCAATATTTTGGGAATAGAATAATGTCATCAAAACAGAGTATAAAGAATAGTTTGGTAGAACTCACTGTAGGGCTAGTTGGTGCCTGAATTAAATGAGGCAATAAATATGTTAGCGAAACTTAACTCATAATGTATGAGTCGGAAGTACGTATGTTATATTTAGAGCACGTGACCTATAGCGTGATTAGGTTGGATTAACGATAGCTCAAGGATGTTGCGCGTGCGTTGACGAGAAGTGTGTTTATATTAGCTTGTTTCCTCAAGGAATGCACACTTTCGAGTGAGTTCCCGTCATGTACATGCGTTTTTTGCTTCTTCTGTATGGTCGCGATTTTGGCGCGAAATAGAATATTCTATTAATTTTTTTTCTATTTATAAGGCCATTGTAAGGTTTATATCTAACTGTCCTGGGGCAGTAACTCTGGGTTGTTGTTTGGTAAAATAGGACACGGAAAGTGCTCTTACGAGACGCCCGACATAATGCACATCTGCCTAAGAATCTAATCACTCATTTGTTTTCAGTATTTCGCTTTACGTTTGTAACTCCAGGAAACAGCGGTATATCTAAGCGTATACCTCGAAGAAGAACTATCGTGCAAAATGTTAATTGATATTTCAGTCTCCATGTCCTACACTTTTTTTTCTGTGCAGATAACTTTTAGGATGAGTATTACGAAGTTCACTCCAATACTTAAATGTTCATTGGAATTCGCGGAGAATTTTTCAGTTTTGTCGTATATTTGTGCAAGGTAGTGCAAAATTGCGAACCTTACATATCGTTCATTTTAAAGGCGTCGAAAAGAGGTATGGCGGAAGCAAGCGCCAATGTCGGAAATTCAGGCGTGATATTATTTAAATCGGCGACAGTGCCTCGGAGAGTCTTATCAGCGCGAGATGTACGTCAGACTTACCATGGACTTCATGTCGGTGGGCCTGGCGATGGCTGCAGAGGCTGCTGCTCCAATACACCTGCGGGGATCTCGTAGTCTGCCCCTCCGCTGTCACTCGACTCCTATTTATACCGCAGTCATGGTTCGCGGCCGACGCGAGCCACGACTATGCTAGCACCGGTGCAAGCAATGGCACGCGGGGGTGGGGACAATTCAACTAAAATACAAACCACTTGAAAAGAAAGCAAATTTAAAGCTCATTTCCTCGCGACCAGCAATGACCACGCCTTGGAGAGAAACTGTTTCAGAGGTTCTTTGGGGAAGGCTCACTTTCTGGCTGCCTGCTTTGCTATGTCGTGCGCTTTGTCGCACGCATTTTAGCTGCCGCGATCTAGTTCCCTGCCCCCGTAAAATTCTGTCGTTGAAGGTTCGGTAAAACGGAGGTGTGTACTGTCGGAGCGGATGTCATTTTCTGCAAGTGCCTCACTTCGCACTCTATTCGTCAAGTTCTCCGGGAGTTTGGAGGCCGTTCTTAAAACTGGGGTCGGTTAGTACCGCCCGTTTGGCTTGGCCTAGCTTCAAAACGTACATAGATATGTAAAAAGAAGGGACGAGTGGACCGAGTGTGGAGAATGCTTGTAAGGTCAAGTATGCGACTACCGATGTAGCCGACTGCGGAATAACGTTCCGTGCATTTTTTTTTCAGTAAGTTATGTATTTCAGTAGTTCTCGCAGAATACAGGAAATCCACCAGAATCCATGTTTTGTTACTTCAAAGTCACGCTGACACATGCCGAGGGCTCGTATTGTGCACTAAATACTTTTAAGATCAATTGCTTTTTAAGAAAACTGGTGTATAAACATTTTTTAGATCTTCTATCAGGCTTCTCATGAGGTTGTATTTGTTCATAAGATCTTCTTTTGTTGAATAGCTGCTATAGCCCATGCAAGGAGGAGAATTCATATGAATACTTTTGCAAAACGTGTACTGGCAGATGACACACACTCCCTCTCTCTTTTGTTTTAGTTGCCTCAATATATTGCCTCAATACTGCATGGAAACTTAATATGGGCCATAAAAAGCATAAATAGTTTGTACAGAAAATATCTGTGCACTAGTTCGCCATAATTTTGGCGTATGACTCGTATGCGTTATCGGTCCGTCACAGCGTAAGGAAAAGCTCACACAACAAGCAAATAGTTTGGAGATCAGCTGCTTTCTTTTCGTCTTTATATGGGCATCCCAAGTTTTCACCAGGCATCACGAAGTAGTTCTTACACGTTTTGTAGCTTGTGGGCTCAGGTGGCCATGGAAGTTGCGCAGCATGTGGCACGAAAATAAACTCTAAGGGACCTCTAACACACTGGCATGAGAAATGGTACACAGCACATGTGACCTTGTCCACTGTGATCACATTTGTAGCGTCATAGCCATTTGTAGAATAAATTAAGTGCTTATTGCAGCCTTAAAATCAGCTTTTTTTTGTTCAGCGGCGCATACTGAGACAATAAAAATGGCTTGCAATGAACGTCCCTGTTTGTAGAAACAACCACGTTACAGTTTCGAATGCGCCGGGCTTGCAGACATTCCACACCAAAAGTCTAAAAGCACAGCAGGAACCACGGCAGTCTGATAAAGTGATATATTATGTATTTTTACTTAGAAATGTACACGGTTAGGCAGTTGAGTTGAACGACTATCTTCCGTAGTAATATCCACGTCCGTAGCCCAACCGTCCATATCCTCCGTATCCTCCGTAGCCAAGCCCGTAGCCACCATATCCTAGACCGTAGCCACGACCATAGCCCAAGCCATATCCTCCAAGTCCGTATCCTCCAAGTCCATATCCTCCGAGGCCATAGCCAAGCCCGTAGCCAAGTCCATAGCCACCAAGCCCATATCCGAGCCCGTATCCGAAGCCAGCCATGACAGTTGACGCAATCATACAGAAGAGAATAACGTAATACTGCAAAACAAGGACGAAGATATGCAACCATCAGCGTTTTCGAACATGTAGCACAAATGTTGAGTGTTCTCAAAGATAAAATGGTCGTACCACATATGAGTCACAGTATCTTTATGCTATAAAAAAGCACAGCGCACTAGGTGGTTAAATCATGCCAAGCTACCCGTAATGCAATATAGGCACGAAAATATAAACTTTCTTTATTCTAGTTTGTTGACTTTTTTCAACGAATGCCCACACCAAAATGGTATTTATATTAGAAGTGTTATGTGCCACATGGCTTCGCAGTCATCAGTCGCATAGCAATTTAAAGTCGTAACAGTAGCCAACATCGAAATTTGTTAAAAGAAAGCTTCATTACCAGGGTTCTCATGTCGACAGGGGTCGTCACTGCGCCTCCGAGTCAGTTCGTGTGCGCACACGCAAGTTGTCGTCCGGGTTGTCTCCATTAAACAGCCAGACTAGTGCATATATATGTACATGACCTAAATCGTAACGGATGGCTAGGGCCTGCTGTACCATATAGAAACATCCGCAGTGACAGCTGACGAAAAAAGCGCCGACGAGAATGAAGAATTGTCCCCGACGACAAAAAACAACAACAACAAGGGGCGCGTCGTGCTTGTTATGTTTCCGCGCACCCCGATGTCTCAAGCTCATTGCGAGAGCGCCACGCCACGTCCGATCTGCAATTACGGGGCGGGAGAGCGACCGGGAACCACGCTCACTGCGCCTATACCCGTGTGTCCTTTGGTTTGTTTCGTTTTCTTTCCCAGTATGTCAAGCAACCAGCGTTGGGCCGCGCTGGACCTTGTCCCTCACAAGACGACCCCCCACCCCCTTTTCTTCGCTCACTCGCTCCTCTTACACCAGAATAATCCACGGCCACTTCGGGACATTCCGTTCTACTTGTGCGGCACAATACAAGGCCCGGGTGGGCTGTGTGGTGAGCGCTGTTTCCGGCGGACGTGTGACCGTGGTTCCCGCCGAGCGCGCTCGCTTCGCTTGTTCAATCGTTCTCGATTTCACCGTCTCTACTAAGAGCACGCTGGGTTTAATGATGTTGATGTAGCCCACAGTCAAAAGGCGATGTCAAAGCCCACAGGCGGCCCTGTCGCGTGCGTCTTGTGATTACAGCCCGTGATTTTGTAACCTACTGTGAACTTTATACTCGCAGAAGCGCAGTGTTATTTTATTTTTTTACTGTATTTTTGTTCGAGAGGAAAAAAGTATGTGTACCGTAAGTGTATAGATATTCATCACATAAATTTTCCTCTGAATGTTTATTTCATCGTGTATTTTTTTTAATTATGCGTTCTCTCTTATCAATATGACCTGAGAATTTAAGAAGACAGAATACGACATAATATCAATGGTAAAAAGAACTTCAGCGACGCCCTAATCTGTCAACTGATACCGAGTGTAGTATTTCCTACAATGCAGATATATAGTTTGTTTCTTTTCTACTCGACCAGCGGTATGTAGAATAGGAAAGCAGATAATACTTAAAAACAACATATTAATAAATGTGAGTATGCTTCCTTCCTTTCGGTACCTGCTGCAGCGGTTAAAATACGTCCATTAGCAGTGCTATGTCTTCACATTCTGAAACACAGGTATTCACTGATAACTGTCCTTCAAGGACCAACTGAAGGAAAGTTTGTTAAGGGGCTAGAATGAACGCACGAGTTTGCTATGCTTTACCCTCTCGTTTCCTCGTTTTCCTCTTTATTACGCTCACTTCCTTCTTCCATTCTAGCTATATGCCACTATGCTACTATGGTACTGCGTCCCTGGCCTCATACATAGCTATGTTAAGCTCTACTCTCTATCCTTTTTCTTTCCATTCTCTTCAACCTCAAATCATTCCTCATACTGACCCCTCTCTCATCCCCTTAATAAAACTGGGCTATATAAACATGGCTTTAAATGGCTGAGTTATAGATAATACATCATAAGTAATGCGACACATCATTATGCTACTATTTGCTCACTCCTTTCCATCCACATTGCCCTCATAACACTCCTCGCCCTTCCCTGCACAGTTATTATGCACGGCTATGCTACATATTATTTAGTGAGCGTGTCGCGGAGTGCCGAGAAATGATGACAGTGTACGATGACAGCATATTGCCTTCTTTCTTCTCCTATCTCTCCTCCTCAGCCTTCCATCTCTTCTTCTTAGCCTCACTTTTCTTTCGCGCCCCTGTGCTCTGCATAGCTATGCTATAGATGGCTATGTTGCTCCTGATTTTGCCTGCGTTTGGCCAAGTGACGGCGACAGCATACGGTAGCTCGAGTTTCTAAAGTGCGCCGCCTTTAAATAAAAAAGTTATTGGTTGTAGCCCAATTAGCAAGCTGTAGCATAATAGTGCACACTTGCATCAAGGGAAAGTCTTCTTCCTGTTTCTCTTCGAGTGCCTTGACGATGATATAAAGTGAGAAGATTACTACAGTGGGTAGGAAAGCACGTCAGCACAAACCACGCATAGAAAATTGAAGAAGGAAGCAAGCGAGAAACGAAAAGAGAGAAATGAAAAATAGGAAGTAAAATACAAACGAAATGACGTAAAGAAACCGAAACACAGAATAAACTGAGAAAGAGAATATGAAAGAAAGAGAGGAGGGTCGAGAGAGAAAAGCAAAAAGAAACAAAAGAAGGATGACCAGGTCAGCATTCTTCATGACATGAAACCACCATAGGTGAAACTCCCTTAATTTTTTTTCTTCTTGCCTTTCGTCAAGCACGTATATTTGCTGAATGACATCAGCAGCCCATCACAAGTCATTGTAATTTCAATTTTTTTCGTGTCCAAGGCTTTGTGAGCATTACTCGAAAACTGAAGCACAAAGACATTGCGGGAGAGACAGGTGCACACTTTCTTCCTGAAGAGCTGAATGACATCATTTTGAGCTAGAATTTCTGCGCTCATAGGCGTAGCAGACGTACCTCGGTGTGTCGTTTGTCATCGGCTGGTGCTGAGTTGGCGTCATGTTCAATGAGACCAAAACATATGCGGTGTCTATATTCACACTCATTTTTGAGGCGTTCTAATTTTGTATTTTCTGCCATCGATACTACTTACGTTCTGAATGTCTTATAGGCCCATCGCAAATGAAATGTGATTTCTTCCTTGCGTAGAAGCTTTCAGAGCCGGAACTTCGCTGTGATGGAAACCGGATTTCTGGTGATTTAATGTTACGAGTAACTTATTTATTAAATTATATACAATGGCCCATGCTCGGCGAACAAGATGGCGACAGTTCATCAACAACCAGCAACCGACATCGCCTTTCTCTTTGATGAAGCAAAGCTGTGGCGGCTGTTGTGTACCATAACCCCCCGGCGGCAGAAGGACCGTCTCGTTGCTTGAGCTACTCGGATGCGGTAGAAGGAGAGTGATAAGGCTTGAGCCGAGCTATGTGCACGATGTCACTGAAAGCTGACGATGAGGACGTTGGATCGGCTGGAACAATCTCGTATGTAACGTCAGTCACCTGGCGAACGACGTGTAATGGTCCAGTGTAGCGCGACAGCGGTTTTTCAGAAAGCCCTACACGCCGAGTGGGGGACCAAAGGAGGACAAGGGAACCCGGTGAAAAGCGCACGTTTCGATGATGGGAATCGTGGAGCGGTCTTTGGTGCTCCTGTGAGACCTGCAGACGGCTGCGGGCGAGGTGGCGTGCGTGTTCGGCTCGCGCGATGGCTTCGCCGGCATACCCAGTGACCGAGGGCAGCAAGGTGTCAAAAGGTAGGGCGGATTCTCGGCCGTATAGAAGATAGAATGGCAAATAGCCGGCAGTGTGGTGACGTGATGAATTAGATGCAAACGTCACAAATGGCAAATGAACGTCCCAGTCCTGGTGGTCAGCCGCTACGTATTTAGAAAATATGTCGGTTATGGTGCGGTTGAGGCGCTCCATAAGACCGTTCGTTTGCGGATGGTACGAAGTGGCAAACTTGTGCTTGGCAGAGCAAGAGTGCAGGATTTCATCAACGACAGCTGATAGGAAGGTCTGGCCCCAGTCAGTGAGAAGGTGGTGAGAAATCATCTTAAATAACCGAATGCAGAATTATCGAAAATATCAAAAAACAATAAACAAGTGTCTCTTACATCTATGCAGTATCATTTTCTTCAGATAGTTGTGAATGTAGAGACATTCTGCATGAAAATCGTGTGAAAGCCGCAATTTCTTCCATTTGCCAGTTGATTCACACATCTTTCACATAGCGGCTCAAGACCTCTCAACTTATATTCCAACATTTTCTCAAGCCTTAACTTATTACTCACACTGTAACAAAGTGATTGTGAATAACGACTACGCTGGTTGGAAAGTCTGCGGCCATTTCACCGTCCACCAGCGACGTTTTATTGCACCACATATTTGCGACGAATCGCTTTTGGGGTGTTCCGAAGATCCACCTGAATAGGCAAAGTTGGGACAAATTATGACTGAAGCAACGCGAATTTGATGTCAACGATGAGTATGCTAGCTGGCACCAGAGAGAACGTCCGGATTATCTAATTTTTTTAATGTAGGTGTGTCTAACTAATGAAATTATACTCTATGTACTTTACAACAACCTTGACCACTACTGCTAGCACAATGCTGTTGTTAATAATAACAGAATAAGACCAAGCCTAATATCGATACCCAGAAATTATTAGCAGATATTTCTGACACATATATGTGCTGTACTCATTGAAAAAAAATAGTCTTACTCTCTTTCAATTATAGATGATGATTGTTCGGATTTAACGTCCAAAAACCATGTTATGAGGAACGCCACACAGTAGAATCATGCGAAAATTTCCACAACCTGGGGTTCCTTACCGTGTGTCTAAATTTTAGTGAACATGCCTAAGGCAATCCCACCTCTATCAAAAATGCAACAGCCTTGGCCGGGATTAAAACCCGTGACATTCATTTCAGTAGACGAACGCCATAAGCTCCACTCCACCGTCGCAGGTCTCCCGAATAAACGCAACGAGCTGGCCTAGGAATTGTTCAATATGAACGAAACGCAGCCTTAGTTTACTCATAATTACCCAGGGGTATTCCATGTCACCTTAAAATTCACAAAATGCATTTCTGCAGGTTACGTTCCATACAGCCTAGTGTTCCGCCATGTCGTTCATATTCAAATAAACACTTCAGAACTCCGCTTCAAGAGATAGGTAATAGTCAATGTCTTTTTTTCTCGGCAAATCATCATCATCGTCATCATCATCATCATCAGCCTGACTACGTTCACTGCAGGACAAAGGCCTCTCCCATGTTCCGCCAGTTAACCCGGTCCTGTGCTTGCTGCTGCCAATTTATACCCGCAAACTTCTTAATCTCATCTGCCCACCTAACCTTCTGTCTCCCCCTAACTCATTTCCCTTCTCTGGGAATCCAGTTAGTTACCCTTAATGACCAGCGGTTATCTTGTCTACGGACTA